TGTTGATCATGAAAGTGTATCATAAAGTATAGTAAGTATTTATCATTGTTAAATTTAGTAAATATATTTATCGTGCTCTTATTGTTGACAATAAGTTATATTTATTATGAATAAAAATCAAGTAAATTGTTAATAAACTTTAGTTTCTTCATTTATTTAGTTTTCATACTTTTTCCCACTTTCTGTGTTTTCTTATTATAAAACAAAAAGTAAGAAAAATTATAATACAAAATTTTAAATTTTAATACTCTATCGATACATCATTGAATCGATTATATTTACCAAAATTCAATATGGCCGTTTTAAGAGTTATAAGTTTAAAACATTGTAAGCTGTCAAATACGAGTCATTATATGTAGTATAAATTATTTGAGTGAGAGATATACTGATGTTTGTGTATACTTTCGAAAATATACAGTGTCGAATGTGAGAAGTTATTTAAGAACATGAAGATGAATAGCACATACAGAAACATGAGGTTATGATACGTATGTCGTTTCTCACAACTGAAAATTTTGACAAATTATTTTTCTGTTATATTTATCTTTTGATTGTGAAATATGGCACGTTCTTCAGTATCGGCACAATGTGATTTAGTTGCATCTTACATGGATGGAGTTCATGTTAAAATTGCAGAAGCCTATAAACCTCCAAGGAAAGTGTGTTTGCCAGCTGCATATAATAATAAATTACCTGACGTGTCAAAATTAACTTATAATTTTACTTTGGAACGATCAGTACTTGAAAAGGTTGGATACTATTTTTTACGATTTTATGAGATTTATGTTTATAATGAATTGAATTGAGTTGAATGTATATAATATAGCATGTTTAACATGAAATGAATATTACAATACAAGTAAATGAAATTGAAAAATTAATCTTGCAGATGACAGAATGGCGTAAAGTTAGGCAAGCAAGTAACAAAGCACGCCATGCACGATTAGACGAGAAGAGAAAGAAGGAAAAGAAAGAATTTTCACCTCCTCCGCCACCTCCATTACCTGACAACACAAAACAATTACCTGTAAATGCACCTGTGCCTGAAACAACTATTCTTACTCCACAGCCTTTGTCTCCACCAGCTAATGATCTCCAAGATCATGTGAAAACAAATGGATTGGATTTTGCAGACTTCGATAATGACACAAGTAGTCCATTTGATAATATGGAATTAAAAACAATAAATGACATGGAAGAACTTGCTCAGGTGAACAAAACATTTCTAATTCTAATTCTAATATTCTTAATCCTATGAATCAAATTATCACTTTTATGTTTATTTTGCACCTGTTTAGGTATTGCAACCCACATTTCAATGGGCACCACCAGCTAAATTAGAAAGTATATTGAAAGATTTAACTGTTAACGATCAATCCAATGTTCATTCGGATGAGAAAAATGATAATATTAAAAATGAAACAAGTGATCAGGAAGAAGAAAATATGGAGCAAACGGTTAAACACCGTAGTGTATCTACAATTGTTCAGGAACTACAAAGAGACTTAGATAGACCTCTTATGGAGGTAACATTTCTTACAAAAATAAGAACATACAATAATGTTTGTTAAATACTATACATATTATTTACAACAGGATTGGAAACCTTGGCCAAATTTAGAAAGTCCTAATACTAGCTCTCATGAAACTTCAAAACAAGAAGAACCAGTAGTGACAAATCAAGCGTCTCTTATGAATTTATTGCTAGACTTAACTGAGGAAGATAAAAAATTAGCTCGCCACTTAAGTGATATGGGATTTCCTTTATCACGAGCCGCTCGCGCTATACGCAATTTAGGTGGACAAGATAATAAGAAGATTGTAGAATATTTGTTGGCTGTGCAGTCTTTAGAGGAGGTAGGAATGTCTGGAGAGGATGCAGAGAAGGCTCTTGCCCTCACAGAATATAATCAAGACAAAGCCAAAGCTTACTATGAGAATTTATGTACTTTACGAGATTTAGGCTTCCCTGAAGAAGAAGCGTCTGCTGCACTTTTAAAATGCAACATCGATCGTGATAGAGCTTTAGATTTTCTTATTGCATAAATATAAAATTATATACAAAATATTTGAAAAAATATGGTCTAAAAAAATTTTTTTACTGCACAAAGGAGTAGAAATTGATTTAAAATGTAAATAAACTAATGGCTACACTACCTTCAAATGAACATTTAGCAATTATTTTATTGTATAATAGAAACTGAAATACCAACTATTGTAAGATACGATCAGTGTGCATGTATGATGTACACTAAGTGCTGCTAAGAAACATTTTAATTGTCACTTTAAGTATTACAAGAGTTACAACAAGTTTTAAATCCAATTTAAAAATATGGAACTCTTTTATTTTTGTTTATACATTATATTTACAGAATTACCTATTAAATGAAATCAGTATCATTAATTTACATGATACCAGTCATGGCTAACTGTCATGTTGGTATATTTAATAAATTCAGATGCACATCTGTAAAATTGAGATAAGATCTTTGATATCATATACAAATATATAGACAATATATATCTCACCTTTTGCAACAACATAGCGCAACTGTTGTTATAGACTCTACATGGTGGCTGACACCAATAATAACCCAAGCTTCTGTGAAGATTGGCTGTTGGCATTGAGAATGTACGCAAATACTAACAGGTCCATTCATTAACAAGTTACATGAGCCACAATTAATCGGATACATTGTAAAATCATGTTTTTGTTGACTACTCATTGGAATTGGTTCATAATGAACATTTATATTTATAGGCGATGTTGAAATATTAAGTGTATGCTTATACCTAAAATGAAGTATCAAAAGTTCTGGTTATGAAAGTATTGAGAAACATTAGGTACACTCCTTAAAAACAATGTGATTCATAACATTGCAGTAGTTACCTCTCAGTATAAGTTTTCTTTAAAGCTAATTCCCATAATGAAACAACCGTATTTTCATGGATATTATGAACTTTTAGAAGTTGTCGCGGCAGTTCAATTGTAAAACCAGTATCTTCTCCATGTAATGTATTTATTTTTACGTTCAACTTTATATTTGTACGCAGTACTGTACTTTCATAATGCGATTTGAAACATCTGTGATTGTGTATATATATGTATGCATTTGTAAATACAAACATAAGTATGAATTTCTTATTATTGGAAATTAAATAGAATATAAAAATTGTATTGTGCACTAGATTACACTAGAATATTTGAGTACCTTTGAAAACCTAATGAATGCTAAAGTGTTACTTCAAATTTATTTATATGTATTTTATATTAATTAAAAATTTACTTACCCATAACTCAGAATATTTCTTTGATCATGCATATAAGAGTTCTGGATTTGAGAAGTCAATTGATAAAGAAGTGGATAAGATAAATAATTTAAAGATGCATTTGCATCAAAACGAATGCAAGGAGATGATACAAATCCATTTAGTGGTAAATACCTTAGCCTATATAAAAGTTATTCTGTGTAAAATAGAAGCATTTAATAATATTAACAATAGTATTCATAATAAACTAATTTGTCTAAATATAATAATCAATTCTATTAACTTAGTATAACAACCTGTTAGAGCATACAGATATTACTGATATTTGTGGTGACAAGGTAAGTCTATTGGGCAATTCCTTTAAAAAGTTATTGTCCGCATTTAATTCCTTTAGTTTAGGTAAAGAACCAATCCACTCTGGTAATGCAATGAATTTATTTTCACAAATAGATAGAATTTCTAAGTTATGCAGTTTATTCATTTCTATAAATATTATATATGAAATGAATTGAAATGAAATATAACATTAGAAAGGTGATATATTAAAACTTACCAGCAGGTAATTTGGCTATAGAATTTTGATTTAGTAATAAAGTTTTCAAGTTAACTAAATTTTTTATACATGAAGGTATTTGTTCCAACTTGTTAGCGCTTACATCAAGGACCGTTAATTGACTCATGAGACAGAGTTCTATAGGTAATTCTTTGATCAAGTTTCCGTATATGTACAAATTGGTAACATTGAACAGTTCTATAATCCAAGGAGGCAGTGTAGTAAGTTTATTCCATTTCAAATATATTTCTTGAATATGGCTTCCATAAATCCTTATTGCTTCGGGAAATTCTTCAAGACCCCGACAATTCCAATGCAATATTATCTTGCTTTTGATTTCGTTCGCCATTTCTGTAGAATCTGAGTCCATTTTTAAATGAATTTAATCAAAATAGTTTTCAGATATTAAATTGAAGAAGTTGATTCTGAATTTATAAAGGTTGGCAATCAACCATCAGGGTATGCTCAAAATAACTTGCCTGCTTGAAAGATTTATATTAATAACCTATTATACACCAGTAGTCATAACAAATAATGTTTTACAATAAAATTCTAATCTACATATCTATAGTAAGTATCATTGATTACATTTGATACATTATAAATATTATTAAAACAAATATTAAGTAATCATATAATATTATACTTAGTGTAAATTGAAAAGTATGTGTTATTTTTTAAATATAGTAAACAATCCTTGTCACGTATTAAATTTGTACTTACGGTTTTTTTAACAATGATGAAAGAAAGTAGATAATATACGAATATCTTATTACATATTTTATTCACTTATATACAAAGAAATACGTTATTGTACGAATTTACCCCCAACATATTATATGAATAGTACACACAATTATGTTGTATGTAATAAAATACAAAATTCATTTTTTTATCATTTTATGTACTACGATATTCTTGTGTTTATTGGTTTTTATTTCTGAATCTTACCAAGCACTTAAAATCCATGCCATCTGATGCACATTGAAAACTGAGCATGTGTAAGACTGCAGCATATAAAATCAGCTGATGTCAAGTTCAACCATACTACATATGTACTTATCTACTACAGGCTTACGTACTTAAGCTGTGTATGTATATCGGTCAAGTATTCGACAAGGTGGAGTCTTTCACGCAATTTTCCATTCCACTACCTACCATTATTATATACATTATATAATTAAAATTTACAAAATTAACAATTGATATAGTCGGAGAATTGGATTGGTTCGTTAGTTCTAAAAAATTGTTTATAATAGCTCCAAGCTTTATAATATCTTACATGGTCTTTAAAATTACAAAAACGCAAAAAAATTTGTATTACCTTTTATTGTTACTTTAAAAACATGTAAGTATTATTACTTCTTTGTGTTTTTTAGCTATTCTAACTTTTCTCTCTTATTTCAAAAAGCAAGAATAAGAAACCCAGCTTGCATGTTCGAAGGGGTTGAAGCGAATCAAGCATGTTTTATATCAGCACGAGATTAATACAGTTGGAGTTAAGTGGGGTCATTAGGAAGAGGCTTGGAGTCAATTATAGTTTTGCATCGGATTAGAATTTTAGAATCATTAAGTGACCATATAAGTCAATTCGAAATAATTAGATTAGGAAATACTAAGAAAGTTTGCTTTAAGCTTAGATTTAAAATACACATTCTAGATCCATGATTCTAAAATTCTAAATTTATCCAGCATTTATCATGGTAAAGACAATGTTCACATTGTGCTACAGTCGGTACCATTATTCAGAGGTGACCATTGGTACCATCATCGATGAGAGTTGTGCTATTAATCCTGACAGTTCAAGAGTTCACGGCAAACTGAGCTCTGTGCTATTAAAACTGTCCCATCTACAGTTAAAGGTCGCCGATGTTAATTGCGATATCCTTGCCTTCGCCATTGAAAACAATGCCTCGTTTAATTGTTTACACTCGATGATATTGTAGGAACCATGTGTTCGTGGCGAGAGTCGTCAATCGATATGACAGGGCGTGACATAAAAATGGTAAGAGGTACTGGCACCCCCGAGTGCGCGTGACAAAATTTTATATTGTATGTGTGTCTATCCCATACCTCGTCCGTGGTACAATCGAGTACTCTTTGTAAGAGCGTAGTATGTGGATTGTCGATGATCCGATAGGTGTTTTTTCGATCCAGTTTTTTAAGATATTATAAAATTTTCAAAATGATAGAATGTACAAAAGACACAGAAAATGTTACTCTTAGTCCAACAACATCATTAAAATTGAAAACTCGAGAGAACGTAAATAAAATCAGACATGGATCACCGAAGTTGCAGGAAGTTCTTCGAGAGGTTATATGCTAAATATTTGTCGTGTTTGAAAATGTTTGAATGTAAGAAATAAAATGAAAAATCGGTAATAATAAAAAATACAATTATAGAGATGTCGACAAAGAATGCGAGAGAAACGAGGACAGCTGTTTTGTAGGAGTAGATTCGGTTTAGAAATTAATCCAAAAGACATGGAGGATACGTTAACGGAAATTGTGCGAAAAGAATTGATTACAGTCGCACTTACAGATGTAGATCCAGCTGTGAATCCCTTTTTTCATGTTATCAATGAACCTCTTGATCCAGAAGAAGCACTTGAACTTGAAAATGAAATACTGAATGAAGAGAGTATGCTTAATTGATATTGCATATTAATACAGTTGGTTTAATGTTTATTAATCCCTTGCTTGGCAATGTATTTTGGATCAAACGTCTCTGTTTACGCTGTTTTATTTTGTCGCAACCACGTGGACACGATTATTTTAAAGAAACTTGAAATATTACAGCTTCAATTAAATTTATACAGCATATTTTTAAAATTATTTGCGAAATTCAGTTTCACATTGAGAATACATGGGTGTGAGATTTGTAATTTCAGTTCAAGGGGTTAATAAATTGTGTTGTTAAACGCATCTTTTAATAATGATATAAATAGTTGAAAAATATAATCAATATTAAAAATTTGATCATGTATGATTTATAGAACATTGGATTTTGGAAGAGTATGAAAGAATGACCCAAGAAGAACTTGAATTTTTAGCATTAACCGCAGATGAAAAAATCAATGATGTCCTTTGTCCCTTATGTCAGAGGTCTAATCTTATAGAAGAAGGAAGACAAGTAGGTTGTAAGTCTTGTACCTTAAAATTAAACAATGTGAGCTTAAAAGACTTAGGTAATTTAATAAATAATTCTGTGAATAGTCACTCTGCAATGTGTACAGAGCGACCAGGGTTTATACTGATTGAAGACAATAATGTATGTTTGTATTTATTTTGTGATAAATGCTCAGCTTTGATACTACTGGCATAATTTGAATAATATAGTTACTAAAAAAAGATATAAACACTAGTTGAGATTATATTTTTGTATAAGTGTTATCCGATATAAAGTATTACTAATTTATTATAAATGAAAGTAGATTAAGACTATGGACATATTAATGTTCATTCTTACTAAATTATAAAAATAAAAAATTTAGTTAATAGCAATGATTTTTAATGTCGAGCAACATAGGAAAATGATTAAGGGTAATGTAAATTTTAATTTCCATTATGAAAGTAAATATTTAAATAACTACATGAAGGTTTATGTGGTTGTATGATACATATTGTACAAAAAGAAACATCCCTTCATTGGTTTATTTATATTATTCATCACTTAGACATACACAATGAAAAATTGTAAGTAGAAGACATCTGTATATTGTAAACATTAATGGCTCGTCAAAGTGCTCACTAAATATAAATTTTATTTTATCAGTTATTACAAGGAACAGATTGAGAAGTTTTCTACGATTGTTTACAGCTCTCAGTATTCAGTTATGTACAATTATGTAAAAACAACAAGAGCATTACAATATGCAGAAGTCTTTTATAGCTTAAACTCTAATAATTGAAATCTTTATAAATGATTTGTACATTATCACATGAAATTTCGCATTAAAAACTTCATATTCCATAACATTATTAATATATGACATACTTTTAATTTGTGAGCAACCCATTTTTTTTTTCATCAGCGGTACAACTTTTTTTAATCTACAATGTAAATTGTTCGTTCTCCCAAAGTTATTACTATGCAAGTGTTAAAAATTATATATTTGTTATAGCGGGCAGGTTGTCATTAAAAATATTGCATATTTTATCAATTTTTAACTATACTTTTTCTACAGTAAAAGGCATAGTTTCCATCTCCAGTCTCCCATTACCATATGCTTTCAAAATGGCACCAGTTTGTGTAATATAAAAAAGAAAAACATTCTGAACAATCATATACATCGTAAAACATAATAATGTTTTATTTGTCAATTCCGGTAAAAGAATATTCAAAATTAATAAATTTTTCAAAATTAACTTTACCATTAAAATATACCGACAATGCAACGTATCCTCGGATCCGCAATATATTTTTACAAGTGTCTTCATCTTAAAAATAAAAACAAACGTTACTTAATGAGAAATAGAACAACTCCAAGAAACACTAATTTCTTCTGCTTTTTTGTAATAACGCAACGTTACAAACTTTAACACTTTAGTCGTTGCCAAAAAAGTTACACTTAGTCCAAAACAATCATAGTAAAAATATAATGGAATGGTTTGCTCTACATATTTTTTTCTTTTTCCATATTTTTTTTCGACAATGTTACATAAACATGTAGGCAAGTACTACAATGAATTTCAATGAATCAATGAAGGTAAAATGAACAAGTTCATTACGAAGATTTTGTTATCGCAATTACCACATATTCGGTATACATTTTTTTCCGAGCGAATCTAAATAAACGATGTACACAATCATGTAATAAATATAAATGTACT